GTAAAGAGGTGTCTTATGGGAAAAGATGTTCCAGCATCTAGCCTCAGTCTGTAGCCAATGATCATGAGTAAATATGAACATGATTTTGTTTGTTTCCAAGAAGGTTGTTAATCCAAATAAGTGGTTTGTTGACTGATTCTCCATCTTTAATTGTCTCCATTTGAGCTGAATTTATCTTCCCTGGAGCTCACCCAACATGCTAAGGTGCCTACTCTGATGCCAATTGAAATTCTATTCCTCAGGGGACAAATGTTAAACCTGATGTTATAGACAACTAATTTGATAAGTTAAACCAGAATCACCACAATTAACACATATTCAATTGTATAAGATGATAGAGCAAAAAAACAATAAAGAATACAATAATTGGTAACCTAGTTCGATGCAATAACACCTACGTCTAAAGGGTTGACTTTCAACCCAAGAAAAGAAATTCACTATTAGTAGTTTAGTAGAATTAGTCTTACAAGAAACAACAAGCCCTATGTTGTTCAATGCCTCTTTCTAACACTATCCAATGACTTTTTTATTTAGGACTCCCCCTAAATATGATAACCCCTCTCACTTTCTCTTAATCACTAAACCCTAGTGATTGGTATTTAACCCAATTATCAATGTTCAATATTACAACTTAACTAGACAAACCTACAACTATGCCATGTTACTGAAACAAAGTGTGATGTACATACAACAATAACAAGGACTCTAAACCCTACAAATCTAATATCTTCAATGTATTGTTTGCGTTCCAATGTAGGTTTTGAGCTCACTATATTCCACAAGTATTATGGGTTTTCTCTTTGGATCCTAGCTTTACTTTCCTCCAAAATATTTTCCCAATTAGTTGAATAAGATTGACTCCATAAATATATCCAATAGAAATATATGATTTGGTTTAATTCAAATTCAAATTTAACTCACATTTAAATTTGATTTGATCTTCACATCTATCTAACAAATAATATAATCATATTGCTAAATAAAATAAATAAATCTAATTGAATCTTCAACAAAAAATTTGTTCCAAAACGCAGCAATTTGGCCTATTGACCTAGGCCCAGATGTCGTACCCACATGTTGTGACATCGCGTCCAACATGTGTCCCTTTTGCACCAGAAAATCATCTTGAAGCAGCTTGGCAAACTTGAACACTTCTCCATGATGTTGTTTTGCAAAATGCAATATTCAATCCAAAAGGAACAACAAATGTGTTATATGCCAACTAGCCAAAACTTCACATACACTGCCGCTGGATTACTACAACCATTATATATTCCCTCTTGAGTATGGGAAGATGTAGCCATGGACTTTATCACAAGGTTAACACTTTCCTTTGGTTACACTATGATAATGGTGGTGATTGACAGGTTGACATAATATGCTCACTTTACTCCACTAAAGAGTGACTACAAAAGCAAGGGGGTTGCAAAGGCGTTTATGAATCAAGTAGTGAAGCTCCACGGCATGCCAAAATCTATTATGTTTGACATAGACAATTTTCACTAGTAATTTTCAGAAGAATTTGTTTGAATTACAGGGAACTACACTAGCAATAAGTTCAACATACACTACAAGAAAATAACGTTTTAATTTCAACCATATAGCACCAGCCTGACTCCGACGCTAATAGCGTTGATTATATGTCTCTAGAAGCGAACACTAGCATGTCAAATCATTTTTTTATTACATCTTTAATCATAGCGTCGGCCACAACCGTTGCTACATATGCATTTATATTATTTTATACTTAATAATTTGTTTATTGACATATCAGTAGCGGTGTAGGTCGACGCTAAGTCACGTGTAAATTGTTAGTTTCTATTTATTTGTTAAATTTTTTAAATTAGCGGCAATATAAGCCAACGCTAATGTATATTTACATGGATTGTTTATTTAATTATTTTTTATACAAGAAGCGGTCACAATCGACACTAAAGTTGGTGTGGAAAATTTTTCATTTCTCTCCACAAATTTTGTTTTTCTCTTTTTTCAAAATAATTTTTTAAAGTAATTACTGACTTTTTTATTATAGTTGCAGCTTATTCATATATATATATATATATATATATATATATATATATATATATATATATATATATATATATATATATATATATATATATATATATATATATATATATATATATATATATATATATATATATATATATATATATATATATATATATATATATATATATATATATATATATATATATATATATATATATATATATATATATATATATATATATATATATATATATATATATATATATAAAATTTTAGCGAGGGTCAAGCCAACGCTAATGGTGGTGCAAGTATTTTTGCATTTCCCCCAACAAATTTCTTTTGCATCATTTTTTTTATTGTTTTAATTATTTACCGATTTAAATTATTTTAATTATTGGTGAAATTTTTTATTTTCACATGTTTAGGTTGACTTTCTTTTTTTAATGTTAGATTAATAAAGTAAAATCATGTGAAAATGAAATCAAATATACCAAATACTTTTTTTTTGAATCAAATAAAACCAAAACTACAAATTAATAAAATAAAAACAAATAAAACTACAAATCAAAACTAAAACTAAACTCATAAAATAAATTAAAATTAAAATTATAAGTTAATAAAATAAAATTAAAACTAAATCAAAAGCAAGTTTCATCCTAAATAGGGTTTGGTCGGCAAAAAAATTAAACTCAGTGTCGGCTTAAGCTAATGCTAGACAGATACACATTACTAGATAGTGTCGCCTGAAGTCGGTGCTATAGAACGTGAACAAGATAGATAGTGTCGGCTTAGGCTGACGCTACATGATTATATCTAGAAAGCTCATGGTTGGCATTATCTAAATGAATACAACACTATAATGTCGTCAATGACCGACACTACATGGTTATATATAGAAAGTTAGCGTCGCTAAGACTGACACTGCATAAATGAATGCAACACTATAGTGTCACCTTGGAATGACGCTACATATAGTAACTAGTGTCACCCTAGGTCGACGCTAACTAAATACACACAAAACAATAATGTTGATTCAGGTTGATGCCAACACTAATCATATTTGTACTCTAGCATCGACTTTTGTGTATTAACGTCCTTTTAGCATTTCTTTGACCGACGTTAAGATTTTCTTCCAGCTTTGAGGTGTCCGCCTCGACCCCGACGTTAAGCCTACGATAACACCCTTTAGTGTCTGTTTTTTGCCTTTTAGCGAGGACTTTTGGACGACGCTAAAACACGAGTTTCTTGTAGTGATATCATCGTCAGTTAGATGAGCAATCTGAGGTTCTCAACAAGTGTTTGGAGATATTTTTGAGATGTTTCACTTTTGAGAATCGTAAGATATGGTATAAGCTTTTAATTTAGGCGAAATATTGGTATAGTACTACTCATCATACAAGTACTGATATGACATCTTTCAAAGCACTATATTGAAGAGATCAACCATCTATAACTTGTTATAAGCCTTAGATAGATGATCATATATCAATGCAAGAACAACTGGGAGAGATGGACAAGATTATACAACAACTCAAAGCTAATATGGAAAGGCACAGGTTTATATGAAAAACCAAACAGATGAGAAGGGAAGATATATAAAGCTACAAGTGGGAAACTGGGTTTTAGTAAAGCTACAACCTTATAGGTAGCAATCTGTAGCGTTGAGAAAGAATCAAAAGCTTGACATGATATTTTTGGACCTTTCATGATAATAACTAAGGTAAGAGCCGTGACCTATAAGCTACAATTATCAGAGGAAGCAAAAATACATTCATGTTTTCATGTGTCCCAATTAAAGCTATTTATGGGAGGGACCACGTAACAGTACATGCCCTTACCATTGACAATGACAGAGATGAGCCCTATTGTACCACCATTCAAGTTTTAGAGGTACACTTGATTTAACGAGGGTAAGTGCAAATTCTATAGGTTCTTATCCAATTAGACATATATGTCAGCTGAAGAGGTCACATGGAAAGTACTAGAGGATATAAAGGCCAACTTTCCAACTTTCAACCTTAAGGACAAGATTGTCTTAAATACGAATGGTATTGTAATGAGACAAATTAAAAAGAAGAGACTAGAACATGCCGAGTCAGCAATAAATGAGTTGAAGGACCCATAAGAGATACATGAAGATAATTTTGTTATGCTAGATCAGGCTTTGCAAGGAGTATGCATGAGCAACAGAATTCGCAAGGCCAATATCAACTTGAAGAATTTTGTTACTACCCGAGGAATACATATAGAGCATTAGGAATCAATTTAGTTCTATGTGAATTGTGAAGTTTCATTACCTTCTCTCTTAGGACTTTCTCTTTCACATCTTGTATTGATCACTCTAAGCTATTAGAGATTGATATTTTCAAAATTTCAATAAAAATTCTCCTATTTACTCTCTTTCAATTTTACATTTGTTCTAGGTCACTAATTACCTTACAAGTCAGTTTAATAGAGATGCGTTAGACCAAATTTTAACTCTAATATGATATTAGATTCAAATAATCAGACTTTGGACCATTTATAGTTTGTATCAATGCACCAGATCCAACTAATTATATTAAGAAAATCACAAAATTCTACATTAATAAAAGATTAAGTTTAGAAAAGATTTATATAGAGGGTCAACCTTTACTCAAAAAAAGAAGAGGTTTTGTAAGGTTGAATTATACTCTACTCAAATGCAATATTATTAATATTATTAAAAATATAAATTTATTTTGAGTTACAAAAGTAAATCCAAACAAGTTGAGACTTGTTTCACATACATATAACTATTAATAGAAATTGGTTCCATCTTACCTTTAATGCACGTTTGGCAACGTGAAAAATCTTGCTAAATTGCAATACACTCATAAGTCTCTTTTACAAGACATAAATCCATAACTCTATTTTCAAGAGCAAAATTGACATATACCATTAATCTTGATCGAACAACCACCGATATTCCGACTACGTGAACACGCAATCTCCCGACCGCATAGACTCTACTGCCCAGGTGGGCGACGAACATCATCTCCTTGTTGATCTTGATTGAAAAGATGAGATGCATAATAAGGAAACTCAGCATCACTAGAGAGAATCTGAGCATACTGAAACAAATTCGGAAAAACTTGTTGATTATCAACAGAACCACTAGAATTATTGTTGTTGTTGCATTGAAAAACTCTTTCAGGGAAATTAAGTTTAGCTTTTGCGCCTTTGAATTTAAGTGCTGCTTTGTCATATGCAAGAGCTGCATCTTCAGCTGTATCAAATGTTCCAAGCCAAACCCTAGCTGCTTTTATTGGATCACGTATTTCTGCTGCCCATTTTCCCCATGGTCTTTGTCTCACTCCTCTATAGTGAGGTTTCTTTTTTGCTTCTTTATTAATTAATTACATTCACATGCAAAACAAGAAAAAAAATCACTTATAATTTAGCTTTTCCAGAATATGGAGATTGCATTTTTATTAAGACACAAATCATATCAAACTGAATCTTAAATATTAAGCAAGTTAGGTCATAAATTTCTACCAAATGGTCTAATATATTCTGATTCCTAATAATTTGTTTTAGTTTTAAAAAAATAAATTTTTTGTTTGTATTTTTTAAAAATAACTTTTATGAACTATTTAAATAGTAAAAATAACTTAAACTCATTTTTTTATAAATAAAAAAATTAATTTTGACATCTAGAAACATAAATATACATATAATCAAAATTATATGATTTTTAAAAAAAAATATATCTCAAAAATAATTTTAATAAAAAATCATTTAAAATATTTCCAAATTTATATATTTAAAAATATATATGATATTAAAAAAAAACTTGTTGAAAAAGGAAAAAATATTTAAATTAAAATTTATAAAAATCTATGTTTTATTTGATGTTTTTTTTATATTTTGTCACTTAAAAAAATCAATACTTTAAAAATTATTAATTTATAAAAAAACTGAAACAATGGTTTAATATGTAACATCTTAAACAAAATTTAATGAAAAGAGATATATTCCATCTTATCTTTTATTAAATACTTAAAATATTAATTTATATATAAATCAGACACACACACACATATATATATATATATATATATATAATTTGTTTGATAAATTTATCATGGTATTAATTGATTAATAAAATGTATGAATACTTATGCATGTATATACTAGTCAAAGTTTTTGCGCATGCTTATAAATAAAACATTTAGTCAATGGAAAATAACAAGCTAGCTAACTTAATTATAACTTCTTTTAAAATACTAATCCTTTTTTATAAAATGACTTTGACTTAATTAAGATCATATAGGTAAGAAACAAACCTTGATCTACAAGAGGTTGAGATTCTTTATTGATAGTAGTGGTTGAAGTTGGTTGAGCCATGTGTGGATTATGATTGGTAGAAGTTCCAATGACTTGAGAGAGACCAGAAACCATAGTAGACAAATCAGTGTTTGAACACCAATTAGAATTAGATGCATAAATAGCATCAAACTCATTAGTATCTGCTAATGGATACTCTTTAGTTTCTGATGTTTGTGAAGATAGTGGCAGCTTTCCATGCCTTCTTGGATCCACTTTTGCACTTGGTTTTTCTCCCCTATGTTTATATGGCATGAAATTTTATGATGTTAAGATACTAGTGCCCTTACTTATACTATTGTTTTCTTCTAAAGTGCATCGTGAAATGAGAGTTTCCTTGTCATAAGCATGTGCCCCGCCGTAATTTTAAAGTAGTGTACTTTGTTTGTACAATGCATATGGTCTAATTATCTTTATTCATATATATCCACGCATGATCTTTGGTCCTTTTCACATCACAATTCTTGTTTGTTTATGCATACTTCATGATTCAATATGATTCTTGCTTTGTCCTCACTTGAAACTATATGCTCAACCCAAAAATACCTATGTAGCTAATTAGTGTGGTTTACTTTCGGTGTTTTTTGTTTCAATTTTTACCGACAAAATCAATATATATCAAAAGAATACACTAAAATGTAATCTGATTCGGATAGGTCAAAATAGGCTTGTATTGTATGAGAATCGAGTATATAAGTCATTTATATACAAAACTCAAACATTTTAATCTAGCGAGACACATTCTTTAAAGCACAAAGTCGTGAGTGTTTTCACACTCAAAATAAATAATACCTCTTAGTCGCAGTGACACTGACTTGAGGTCGATCAAATCATTGTCGCTAGAAAGACGAATCAGTGTTAGACGATAGACTTCGATCTAGAGAGGAAGTGAATAGATCAAAAATTTAAAATTTAAATTTTTGGTAAAAAGTAGTTTTCAAAAGTTTTATGGCACAGAGGAAACAACTCGAATCGAATCATCTAACTGAACCAACTATCGAAAAGCTCGAATATGCGTAAAGTTACACAATAGAATGATAATGAACACAAATTATTTAACAACGATTAATCACAAACAATTAATGATAAGCTATCAAAAATAAAAAACACAAAAGACAATTTATCGAACACCTTGTGTGCAATCGATAACGTTTGGAAATTTAATTTGTTTTGTTGATGTTAAAGCCAATCACAATCAAAGTGATTATGATTATATCAACAAACATTAATTCAAAATGTAATCAAAAATTTATTTTCAAACGAATTGATCAAACAACAACAAATTCGATAATTTGCAAACACAAAAACTAGAGAGAAAGAGAGAAGAATTTGTTTAGGCAGTTCCCCAATCGGCCTCGCTATGGGTACATATGCCCTCAATTCGAATTCAAATTGAGATAGTTGCAATATAATTAACCTTACTTTACAAAAAGTGTATATACAAGAGATGAAGAACTCTAACCCTACAAACCTATAGTTTGTTGTTGATTTTACCACCTCCAAAACATTTGATCAAAGATTGATCAAGTCACCAACAAAGTTGATTCAATCCACCAGTTTTTGTCACTACCTTGCAAGACAACCTCATCTCAAGGTTTTCACTCGGTTGAATTAATCCCAAGCACGCACATGTTGAACCCAAGATTTACGAACACAATCCACCGTCTCACGCTACTCCCTTGTAAGGAACCACCTTGTCCCAAGGCCTTCACTCGATCGGATCCGAACTACGTAGTCTTATCCAAAAGCTTCAAATCCTCAATGATCTTGAAGGAAAATCCTAACTCGGTTTTCTTATTTGAAATACTCAAAGAACTCAACCCATTATTCTCGGTACAACAACCTAATTCGACGTTATTAACCCTAATCTGGATGGTCACCCAATCAAAAAATAATTATGTGTAGTTTGATTGTGTGTATGCATAGAAGAAAGGTTGAAGATGATGAGTATGCTTTGAGATTCTGGTTTCGTATAGGTTTTACACTAGAACCTTACTAGAAAAAGATGCATGAACAACATATATATGTATGACAGATATGAAGCAAAGGGCATTCATGTGAAATTGAAAGGAAAAACAAAATTTCAAGATTAGAAGTCTATAGGTCGACCTATGAAAGCAGTGGTGTCGACCTACAAAGGTCTTAGGTCGATCTATTTGAGGCGACATGTGGACAATGGCTACAACCTTCGTTATATGAGGCATGAGGGTCGACCTGAACAAGTTGTGTGTCGACCTATACTGAAGCAAAAGCTTGTATAGACCGACCTAATCGCGTATGTGTCGACCTATTCAGTATTTTTCACATTAAAAACTCCATTTTTGAGCATGGATCTTGCCTAAGACATTTCTAATCATTTCCAAACATATTTATATGCACCCTAATGCTTATATGATTAATGCACATGTTGATACTGTCCAATGTACAAAAACGCTAAAGTTTCTCTTAGTTTTGATATCTTTCAAAACAACTAAACAGGAAGACTAAAATAGTCCATGAAACTCGATATTCAGCGTAGTGTATATATAGCATTTATACATCGCAACCTAAAGAGATGTCTTTTCTAAAGTACAATGTCATGAGGGTTTTTGAATCCACTATGATCAAACACGAGATCTTAAATACGATTGATCGCACTGTGAAAGATCATAAAATTCAGATAGTTAGCATGACACATAAAGTTCTATTGAAAGGAAAAATGGTAAATTGATATATATATATATATATATATATATATATATATATATATATATATATATATATATATATATATATATATATATATATATATATATATATATATATATATATATATATATATATATATATATATATATATATATATATATATATATATATATATATATATATATATATATATATATATATATATATATATATATATATATATATATATATATATATATATATATATAGCAAACAAGTAAATAAGTAACAGAGTAAAAAGATAGATGAAAAACAAAAGAAAGAAAATGACTTAAACGTAAAAGAGATAAGGCAGAAAGAATGACACCAAAGATTTATACATGTCTTATCTATTAAATTAACTTACTCATCTCCCCAAAAAATATTCTTCAGAGTATCCACTATATTGAGAGATTTCAATATGATAAACCTACAAACATCATTTAACAATGATATAAAGTTTAACAATAAACTTCCAACAAAACAACGAATAACATATATCCTCTGAACCAAATAGAGATTCTGCACGGGTTGATCTCGAACAAAGATGAAGTTTTATATTAGCTATCCTCTAGATTGAGCTTAAGAACCATTACCGAGATTTTACTAGCTAATTTTCACGAATCAAAAGAGAACTTTTCTTCTAGGTGTAACTCAAAAAGCAAATAGAGACTTCGTAAGACAATCCCCCAAATCAAACAAGAGATTTTACTAGTTTACCTTGCAACCAAACAACTTCTTATATAAAGGACAGTTTACTTAAGAGATAATATATTATTAGTAAATTATAATTATTCTCTCACCCAGAACAATGATCCTCATTTAGACACAAGAACATTATCGAAGCACTAAGAAAAAATATATGTGATAGAAACAAGAGATTTATAAAAAATTACGAGAGAGTGAGAAAGTAGGATCCAAACCCGCTTCTGAGTATTTTGAAAAGAAAGAGAAACTTACTATTTATAGGTCAAACTATGGCTTAAATTTGGAAAAAATTAATGGGAGAATTACCTGTCATATCGATTAGGCCATTCAATTATTGCACCTCAATAATCGATTCTACAAACCACAAATGGAATGTTTTGATATTTAACCGTTACCAATCATTAAGAGATTGTCTCAGTCGATTTTGTACTCCATAAAGTGAAAATAATCAATAACTGGAATATGGCTAATCAATTATCCTGTTGTAAAAAGTCCTCCAATTGATCAGACAAATCCTTAATTAGTTAACTAGGCCTTAAAAATATTTTTAGGAGATTTTAACAAAATAAGATAGGCTTCTCAAAGATTTTTAATGTGTGAGTGTGATTTTGACTTTAGTATTTCCAATAGTATCCTTGTGCCAATACAAGAAACTGGTCACTAAATAAATACGACAATGCGAGCTTTCACACTTTCTCTCTTTCACAACTTTGAAGCTTTAAGTATTGTCATAATTATCTTTTACTTTAGCACCACACATGAATATTTAAATTTCTAGCTTTATGAGACTTGAGATATCTTCAGGTTGATTACGAACACCAAAGACTTGAGAGAGAAAACCACCGACGAGTCTTGAAACATAATTCTTCACTTGAATATCGTTTGACCACATCTAGACTTCAAAGAGATGGCTTGATCTTCAAGAGCACCTTCCAAATGATAAATTGATAAAATATCTTGAGCATCTTTGACTGCTTGAGCTATTTTGAATAGATGATAAGTTCACTAGATATCGTTTGATATCAGGTGTTGTCATCATCAAAATGAAACACCTAATTAATTGATTGCAACTTTACTATCAACATACTCCACGACCTTGGATCACCTTGACAATATCTGCAATCACATAGATCCATATTCTCTTTCTTTTTAATGATGACAACACATCTCTCAGGAATGGTGATAAAAGATAAAACAAACAAGTAAAATTTGGAGTGGTTAAAATCCTCCTCACATAATAGACACATAAACTTTTGAGTGGTTAAACTCTATCTCACATTAGTAGAGAGTATACTCTACTCTCTTTGGGAGTATACTTCTTCCCCTTTGGCTTAACTAAAAAGGCAAGAAAAAGATGTTAGAAAAGAATGATAAACATGCAAGCATATAATTCATATAAATCAACCAAGTTTTAATAGGTAAACAATACTTCATTAATTCAAAGACAATTAAAAATAAAAAAAAGTGGAAAAATATCAAAAATTAAACACACTTAATTGCAAAAACCTAAACGCATAAGTGTGAATACTACTCGTTGTCACTATTATCATTCTCAATTATGCATTTTCCCTTTGAATTCTTTGTGAAGGCAACATCATCCTTTTATATAGTTTAAATGACAAAAATAGTTTCTTGAGAGATCACAAGAATGACATTCATAA